GATAGAGAATAACTTCATTGGTGTATCGGTTCTTCATTGGCTTACTTCTCTTTTTTTCTTTCTTTTTCTCTCTCTCTCTCTCTCTCTCTCTCTGAGATATTTTCTCTAAACTAGCAAATAAAAAGTACTCTCTAAATATTTAATATAATCACAATTTTTATCATAACTATCTTATATTGTTTTCTTTTCTTCGTATTACAATGATCTATCGTTCAATATTCGCGTTTACTTTAATTATAACTCTTTTTGTTCACACATTAAATGCGATAAGTCCTTCATATCTTCAACAACATCATTATAAAAAATTATTGATTCCCAATATTATTGGTTTTGATTATCAAAGTCTGCCTAGTATTATTGAACAAGATAATAATGATGATGATGGCGAAGGAATTAGTGATGATTATACTTTAAGACGTAATATATTTCGAAATTTCCATTTAAGTCCATTATGGTTATCACGACGAACACGTGCAAGTCGTTTTTATGCAACACCATTATGGATTTCTCGAACTGGACGATAAAATAAAATAATAAAAAGGGTATTTTCTTTTTTTTTTGCTGAATTAAAATATCCAATGCTGTTGTCCATCATTTGTCTTGTCTTTGTTGTATAATTGAAATTTATCTTTATAAATTAAAAATAAAAACAAAAAGAAGAAAAGATAAAGAAAAATGATGTGACAATTTGGATATAAATAAAAATTTATTTAACAATTTTAACTATTTTATATACTCTTATTAAAAGTTTATGTTGATGAGTCATAAGATAATTTATATACATCATCAACATGTTTCGTTTCTTTAGAAAATAAAAAGTATGATTATCATTTTTCATCATCATCAATTTTATGGCTTTAGAAAATCATATTCGATTAAAATACATTATAAATGATGATAAAAATTTTTATTCTTAAATTTAATATAAAAACGACATATATACTCGAAAATGCTCTGTAAACATCAAGAAGAATCCAATAAAAAAAGTGAACTTTAAGCAAAAATACGATGACGATACACTCCAGTAACTACCTGAGATGAAAACTGTATTATGTCATCACTCAACCAATGAAACCAGTGATAAATTACTGTTCAATAAATATCATTTGTATTTCATTCATTTGTATAGATTTAGAGATTTTTAAATGATTGAAAAGATATTTTAAAGAAAAATAAATGAATTAGAATAAGCTCGAACATTCAATATCTGACGACATCTGTCATAATTATTTATAATTCTTTGCATGCTTTCAGATTTGCATCTCATCTTTGTCATTTTTTTTTTATTACCAAAGGTTAGACTTGAGTCATTATTTAAATAGCTGGAAAAATATAATTAACTAGTAAATGGAAACTATCTGATCTATGATTATTAGTACAAAGTTTTGAAAATAATGGAATTATGTTGTTCTGATTGCTATTGTTGTTCTAGGCTATTATTTAGATGAAAGTGGCATGTATCACTTAAGAAAAGCGTGGGATGTAACGTCTTTCTATTTGTCAGAATTTCTAATATTGAACATCAATAATAATGTTTTCAAACATTCATTTCTCTTCATAATCAATGGACAACAATATATTTATCATCCAAATGATCCTTTCTCTTGAGTATTATGTACTATAACAAAATATAATATTTGTTGGGAATGTTATTACTATCTCTTCTCGAATTAAAGCTTTACTAAAAAGAAATGAATGAGCTTTGTTTGAAAGAAGTTGATGATGTTCATCCTAGTGAAAATACTCATCAAACGAGTACGACTTGCTAGCGTGACTACTCAAATTACTCGCACGAGTACTCGAGCATTTATATACATGTATTTATACTTTTCGTGTACTACAGCGAGTACTCATATGAATTATTTCTTTAAGATTTACTCCCACACAAAAACGTGAGTACTCAAAATAGTACTCTCTTCGTTGTTCTCACAATGTTTAACAAAACACTTATGCATTAACATGTATGAAAAAAATAGAATAAGATTGTGTAATAGAGAAAAATGAAAAATAGGAAAGAATTACTTTAGCGACTTAATCCTCCATTCTTTTCTGATGATTCATTCGTATTGCTTTAATGAATGATCGTTTCAGAAATAGAAAAACGACTTTTTCATTTTCAATTGTTTATTCATCGAGTAACATTAAATATTGATTGAAATATATAAACAATAATTCGTTCAATTTCATTTCCTAAATTTTAGATAAAATATTCTTCTAGATCAATAGACAGTTTTTTCAGATTGATTGTAAAAATTAATGAAACAAAAGTCGAATAATAGTTTTTGATACAAATCGGTTAGAATTCAATGTTCTGGGGGCATGTGCATCAAATCAAAAACAATTTTTTATATTTTATTTATTTTTTTACGTATTACTATGTTCAATCTAGCTATGAGTGTCCAATGTGAGTTTGTTTTTTTGTAATGATCTATATATAGTATACGTTTGTTGTTATTGTATATTTTAATTTCATCAATAATTTATTATCCCACCTCCTCACTAATGTTGTATTGTTCTCAATACTTATTTTACTCCTTCTCTATGTTCTAAAGATGAAAATTGATCTTTATATTCTGTATAACAATAAGATTGACGTCATATAGCATATTTAGTTCTCAATTTTCATGTTTGTCTTAAATTTTCATAATGTATGACTATATCTTTTGTTATTAATTGTATGTTGAAATAAAGTAGATAGAGTACAATTGCACTGAACAGAATATAAATCTATGAATATTTTAAATAAACCACTAAATACACAAAAACGGTATATGAGTACCCAGAAAACACTCAAAATTATATGGCGAGTGCCCGATAGTCGCACTCAGATTTTAGCATGAGTACTAGCGATGAGTACTCATGAGTACTTTTTGAGTACCTTCTTGATGAGTACGTTCATTAGGGTACGGTATGATTTATTGGAAGGATGTAAGAGAGTTTAGTGATGATATACTTCATTTTGATATAATTTATTGATTGTCCATATCTCTAAGTGAATACCTATTTAATCCTTAGAACTATTTAAAGATTATTAGCACTAATTAATGAATATTTGTAGCTATGTAATATGTATTCACAGCTATTTAATAAATACTCAGCTACTTATTTATTCTATCTGATTGATTTCAAGCAAGAAATGCCAATTTGTTGTTTCATTTTTCAATAACAATGATTTATTAATAGAATGAGAAGCACAACATTTTATATAGTCCTTCACGAGCTTTTTTGTTTACTTTCTTGACATATAATGCGAATTATTATTTTGTGTAGCGATGATCTAAAGATCAGAGAATCATAGGATTTTCTTTCAAACGGTATTACAAAATTATATGTTCCCGTACGATCAATTTTGTTTTGAAACTTCGATATGAAATTCCGTTTGTTCTCATCATATCTAATCAAGCATCTTGAACTAAATTCTTACAATATTTCATACTTCGTAAAATGTAAATTTAGATTGATTAAAGCTTTTAAATGGAATAGATAAAGTCAAATGAATTTTGAAGCAAAACAAAATCGTATTTTATGCTATACAGTGCTTCGAAAGTCAATTTTTCGAGGCTTAAACGTTGGCATAGAAAAAAAACAGATATTCTGCAGATGGATAGAAGATAACTCAAAGTATCTATAGCGATGAAATATTAAAAATCGAAAAAACCTTGGTTTTCACATCTGAAAAGGAGAGAGGATTCTATTAAGGCCGCAAACATTTCTATAGCTTATCTATGAGTTCCAGTTGCACTGTACTAATTAAAATGCCTGACCAATTCGTTTAAATTTCTTAATCTTCTTATTACATTGACTATAGATAGTTGATAGTTAACATATTTATAAGAAGTGCATTTTTATAGGTATCTTGGGTACTATTTAAAATATTTTGAACAAGAAAATGACGTACCACTTGAAATTATACTCGGATCATATCCGAAATAGAGCAGTCGGAAGTGGCTGTCCTAAAGGACGCCGACAACCGGCTGCGAGTTGTCTGTTGAGGTTTATATTAGAAAAATCTCGATTGCAAGGTTTAGTCGGTTTATAAAATGGTCGTCTCTGTCAATATTTTAAACAGTTCTTTTGTATGACCATGGGTATTCAACGATAGTTCAGCAAGTCGTGACGACGAGCGTTACTTGTATTAATAAACTTAACATATCGATAACTCACCTTGGCTGTCGGTAGCCACCAGTCTTGTTTTTAGGCCTATCTCCAATCAACACGACATTAACGCTTATAGACACGGAGAAGAATTAGTTAAAATGTATTAATGTAAAACATACTTCCTAGTTATTTTGGAGGTTGGAATGTACGTTCATGATTTCGACGTTCAGAAAAACGGTAACGTTTTTCGTATTTTCCGAAAACGAAGCATTCTAGAAATGTTAGCATAAGAAAATACTATGAGGCTAAAATCATGAAGTATATTGAACATTTTCAAATACAAAATTGAGAAGAATTAGGTTAGATCGTGATAGATGGCAATACGAGATCAACAAATTAGTACGAGTTAGACCAGTGTATAAAAAGATAATAGAAATTGTATACGATTATGAAGATCGAACAAAGAAAAGTAGAACAGAAGAATTAGTGATGTTTCGTGAAATGGTCCAATGAAAAGTAATAGAAAAATGAGGTACCTTTGATGTGTTTTACATTAATAAATGAACAGAGAAATCTAACAATTTTACTTTCACTTGATTTCGAAATTCTATGTAGTGTGTACTTTATGATGCGATTCTCACCTTATACCGAAAGATGATGAGTATGACTGAATAATATTATTGTTAAAATATTTTGTTTTTTAATATGTTGATTGAACCATTTTTAACATAGCGAGAAACAACAAAACATATTTCTTGAATCGCTCCAATTTTATCTTTTTATTATAACTATTTAAAAAAAAAGTCTTGATTTTACTACGTGTCTAAGTTTTCTTTTCTAAGCATCTTGAAAAATCTTTGCAAAAAGACTCAAGTCACTCAAGTAGACATTGTTTATTAGAATCAACCGATCCGTTTGATCCAATGTTCGATTCCTTGATTAATTTCATTCGGTTTTTCTTCCATCAACCAATGACCAGCTTCTAATTCAACCACTTCTAAGTCAGCAATATATTGTTTTTGACCGGCAAATAGAGCAGTTACGCAGACAGAATCTTTTGTTCCAGTAAAGAAAAGAACTGGACATTTAATTATTGGATCGAGATTCTTCTCATCATCCCAATTGATGTTTTCAATAGCTGCTTTGTACCAATTCAATTTTGGTTGCATTCCTTCAAGAAGATTTTCACGAAAATTTGCATAGTCATCTTCAGTCATATATGAAGCTCGTATTGTGCGTTGTCCATTCATCAACCATTCTTGGATTTTACCTACGGGAGCAAAATTAATCTTCTTTTCTCCTGAATTATTTGAAAACAAAAGATCGATAAAACTATCCACATTATTTTCAATAATTGTTGCTGCATCATCGGATTCAAAAAATTTCCAATAACCAAAATTTTCATAGCCTAATATTTTCTTTGAAGTCTCCAATACTTGATCAAGATCCATTTTAGCCGGTGGTCGATAACCAACACTGATGAGAACGAGACTCAATGTTCGTTCAGGATTATATAAAACAAATCGAATTGCTGGTGCTGTACCCCAATCGTGTCCGACTACGATAACTTTATTCAAATGTAAATGATTGAGAAGAGCAATAAGATGAGTAACCATGGATTTCAATTTATATTCATCTTTATTCAAGGGTGAATATGTTTTTCCATAACCCATTAGATTTGGTGCTAAACATCCATATCCTTGTTCAGAAAAATATTTTATTTGATGACGCCAAGAATAGAATGTCGACGGAAAACCATGAAGAAACAAAAATGTCGGTTTTAAATCGTTATTTGCTTGAACATAAACATACTCGTAATTGATGCCCTTGGTAACCTCGTAGTTTTGTGTTTTAAACATCATTAAGTAGCTATTCGTTGCCTGTCGTATGCGTTTTTAATGATACGATATATTTGCCAAGCACAACGATGATGATAAGAGAAATATCCAGGGACTCCAGTATTCATAGGCAAATATTACAGTCGTAGACATATATATATATATCTATATATGAGACGTGTAACGTGCAGAAAACGAAAAAAAGAAGTCAAACAATATCTGGTATGATCTAATGCTCTTACCAACACTCTTAATCTCGTTGTCATGTCACTATTGATATAGGATATCTGCGTTCTTTGTTATTTGCACTTTGGACTATGCAGCTTGTAAGACGACGCTATTTTAGTATCATTGAAGAAATAAGAATGTTAGACACATTTTAGAATGATCAATAATCAGTTGGTCGATTTTGAAACATGCAATAAAAAGCTCATAACTTCTGAACAAAGTAAGCTACAGCGATTACTCTTGCGTAGATCGAAAGAGCTAGATTTTCGCTATCGAATAAGTCACTTTTGACTTTAAAATCCGACAGAAAAACATTCCAGGCGAATACTCAAGAAAAGTTCGGCCACTGAGTAACCACTTGTTGACTAGTTAATCGATTACATTTTGCATAGGCAATCATATTCCAGTGTTCTCTTTTCAACAATGAAAACTGCAGGTCACTACCCATATCTTTAATATCGCGTCGAAACGATAATCGTGCACTTAAACGCCGATCTTTTCCCGATAATTTTGTCGATTTCTGCGATGAATCGCAATTTTCCGATCAATTATTACCTTCTATTCTCTTAATTATAAGCATGATTTCAGTCATTTAATCTCAATTTTTATAGATATATTTAATAATTCTTCTTGATTAAATATTTTTGATTGTAAAACTAGAACACGTACATGATTCTACATGAACCAAATATAAAAGAACTGATGCAATATATAATCATTCAAAATAAAACCGAAGTACAATCGAAAGAAAATTGGAAAGATAAAAACAGTTCATATGCACAGATTGATATTCTGAATTGAGTTTTTTCACGATTACTGATCGAACTGTTACGTTCGTATATGAAATTAACATCTAAAACAAAAGAGATGGTTGCAATAATGGTGATACAAGATCTAATCGTAAACAAGAACGGTCATTTTTTTTTAGCTTGATATTACTCAAGGATTTAAGAATTCATCTGTAAATGTGTTCACTGAAAAAAAATATTATATGCAAAATATATTCAATCAGGAAAAAATATCTGAAATCGATTATGCATTATGAAAAACATGTTTCAACTTCAAACTAAAGAAATGAATGTGAAGTTAGTTTACTTCAATTTGATTGTCATTCAAATTTGCTCAATCTCATTCATATCACAATAACGACACTCGTACAAAAAAGAAAAATCCGATTTTCAGCCTTGAATTTCAATGAATATGTCGGAAAATTGGATACTAAAAAAAACTTCATTCACGATTTGATAGATTTTAGAGTTTTCCTAATTAATTAACAATTTTAAAGTCGATACTGAAATCAACGATTTGGTTTATCGCTGATTTTTCTACAAAATATGATGAATCGCGATTTTACGTCGATTGTTTTTTGAAAGTCGGCAAAATCGTCACGATTTTCACGATATGGGTAACTTGTTCCGCTCTCGATTTATTCAACGAACAACCAACTGTACTTTATTTTAGAACGGGTAATAATATTTTTGCTAACTTATCGCCATTCGATTTATTTTCAAAAAATTATTCCCTCAATTCAACAGAGGGTCATATTAAATAGAATGAGTTTGGTTGGTTGTATGTTTGCATCTACGTGTTTAGTCATATGTTCCCATATATTTTAAGGAAATAGATATTTTTTTTTATAAAGTTTAATCAAAACTAATCGAAGGTGAGAAATTCAAATCTATAATCAGTTTTTCAAAATTTTTAGTTGAATTTTTTCGTCAGGGAAAGGTTTTTCACGAAAATAATGGTCCTTCCTCGACTACAAGGAAGGTCGTACGGAAAAAATCAAATAAGTTTGTATGTATGTATGTATGTTTGTTTGCAGTCAAGTGTACAGTCGCGTGCCTCCATATATTTCTGAAGTATCAGATAAACTATGTGAGATGGCTATGCTTCGAGTCATACTATCAATCAATTAGATAAGTTTCCTGTTTCTTCCTTGTTCAATCAGCCTTTTCGATGCTGGGATTTCAGTCAATCAGATTCTTTCTTATTTTTGTTGTGATCCAATCAGGTAATCGGCTGCTCAGATTTCAGCGAAACAGAGATTTTTGCTATCAGGGTGTCCTACACGTAGGCTTTCAATCCGTTGGTTCTCTGTTCATCAAATGTTGGGAATATCCAACTGTTGACTAAACTTTGCTTTGTGATCGAAATGTCAGTCTATAAGCTATTGCGCGTATGCAAGATTCGTCTTATTCAATGACCATGGATGAGCTATGAAAAAAGAATTAGCATTGCATGCCTATGAGTTGGATTTCTACTATATTACCTAAAATATCAATTCCATTACTTTAAATTTCTTAATCTTCTTATTACATTGACTACAGATAGTTTATAGTTGAACATGTTTATAAGAAGTGCATTTTTATAGGTATCTTGGGTACTACTTAAAATATTTTGAACAAGAAAATGAAGCACCACTTGAAATTATACCAAGATCATATCCGAAATAGAGCAGTCGGAAGTGGTTGCCTGAAGGGACGACGACAACCTACTGGAAGTTGTCTGTTGAGGTTCGTATTAGAAAGATCTTAATTGCAAGGTTTAGTCGGTTTATAAAATGGTCGTCTCTGTCAATATTTTAAACAGTTCTTTTGTATGACTATGTATGTTCAGCGATAGTGTTCATAACAGAATCCAAAACATGGTGAGAGATAATGGTTAGATTGAATTGAGTCGAGAGTCCAGGAAGTCGTGACGACAAGCGTTACTTGTCAATAAACACTAGAAATTCGACAAAATATTTTTTTTTAAAAATCATCTCCGTTTCGCTGAATCCTACAATGATATTGTGAAAATTTATTATTCCATCAGTAGATTATTGATTAAAAAAAGTTCAGAATGGCCCCAGTTTCTCAATCAGAGTACATCCGACCGAGCTCAAAATTTCTTCTATTTATGCCAGATAGTATTTAGAGTGCGTATTGTTCTTTTTTATTTTAAAGTACAATATACAGTAGGATTTAGTCGGGGTTTACAAAAAGAAAATCTCTAGTTACAAAAAAACAACATGCAATTTTGGAGGTATTCTTAATATTTTGATCTTTTTATTCGAATTGAAAAAGAGAAAAAGAAATAAAAGAAGAAGGTAGGCATCTCAAATAGTGTCTAGTATCTGTAAAATAAATTTCAGGTCTATCAGACATATTGCAGTCGAGGAAGGTGGCGGCTTCTGGCCTTGTCATCTCGATATCTCTTAGAAGAAAGTATTTGACAGTTTTGACCCTATGATGAATAACTTTTGCTTGATTCATCAGAATTTCTTTACCCTGAAAAATTTCAAATTTTTCGTATAAGCTGTTTTCAAAGAATTCCCTTAAGGACGATCTCGCAATTTTTTATATGTTAACAAAAAAAACTGCTCCATATTCAATTATTAACGTGAAGAAGATATATTTCATTTACTAAATAAGAAAATCATCATACTAATTAATATATCTTTGTGTTCGTGATCACTTCTGTGTTGACTCGTGAGAAAATATGAATGATAAAAATAAATAGTTTATTTATTTTCTTATATAGAAAATAAGAAATGAAAACATAAATATTGTCACAGGTGATATTCATTTTGAATTAATATTAATCACTGAATCATTAAGATTTGTAATATATTTCAATGATGATTGAATCTGTTTTTTCTCATCATCATCTATATTGGCTTGAAAACGCATTGCATTAAGAAAACTTGTTTCCATAGGTACATAGATTCGATGACCAATAGGACGAATAAATGATAATCCATTTGATAATAGATCATCTCCTCTCATACCACCAGTTGTTAATGTAGCCAAACATGGATTTTGAAGTTGAAATTCACGTTCTCTAAAATGATGAATTTACTTGTAAAAATAATTCAACAAGAATCTATTAAATCAAAACCTTGAAATTCGTTTTGATAAACGATAAGTGAAAAATGTACGAATAGCAAATAAAATAAGGAAGACAAAAATTAATATGACTGTAATTGTTGAAATAATTACCACAAAAAGACCTACAGCACTAACTAAAAAAAAACAAAAATATTTAAATAAACCAAAGATTTATTTTTTTTTTTGTATCTACTTTTTTGACATTGTTTTCCTGAATGAAAAAAATCACAATCACATTTATAATCTCCCAGTAGATTTGTACAAGAATATGAACCACAAATACGATCATTACTTGCACATTCATTTATATCCAATTCACACATAAGACCTCCATAACCCGATAAACATTCACATTTATTTGTTACATTTGAACAATAACCTTGAAAAAAACAAAAGAAAGGAAATTCTTTCTTTCTTTCATTCTTCTTTAATCGACATAATCAAAGAAGTCAACGAACCTCCATTAAAACATTCATAACGACTATCGCATATACCATTGTATGGAATTTCTGTAAGAAAAAAAATGACACTTAAAATATGTATTAATTAAGTATAATTGTTGAACGGATGCTAGAATAATGCCTTAACGCTCTTTTGTCAGGTATGCGGAAGGAACAAAAAAGAAATTAAAGAAGAATATTTCTTACGTAACAATGAGAAAAAAAAAAAATCTTACCTTGAAGAACACAACGACCTGTTGAAGACGACAGAACAAACCCAGGAAGACATATACAGCTGATACCATTTGTATTTGATAGACGTATGCATATTGCTCGACTATCACATTTTGCACAATTTGGATCATCACTGACATCAATTACTTAAAACATAAGATGTTTTTTTTAAAATTATTTAATTGAAATAAAAATTTTTTTTTTTCGTTTTCTATTTGTCTATATCAATAGACATCTTATCCGTCAGACA